GAGAGAGAGAGAGAGAGAGAGAGAGAGAGAGAGAGAGAGAGAGAGAGAGAGAGAAAGAGACAGACAGACAGACAAACAGAAAAAATAAAATAAAGAAAAATGCATGGCTACGCCCGAACAGGACCTGGACATTTCCGGACATGGAACCGGACCCGGGTGCGGTAGTTTCCAGACGCCCGGACCTCCGGACATGGGGGGATCCGGACGGTCCGGATGTATGGACAGGTCCGGAAATGTCCAAAAAAAAAAAAAAAAAAAAAAAAAAAAAAAAAAAACACTGAAAAAAAGTATGCTATGCAGAATAACACTGCAAACCACTTTTGCCTCAGAATCATGTCAGAATTCCTAACCAAACTTGAGTTATAAGTCAAAAACTATAAAAAAGCTTTACAAAAGACTTAAAAAACTAATAAAAGGTAAAATATTATTAATAATTTAAAAATTGGGGTTGTCTATTAAATTATTATAGAGAGCGAGCATGTCCGGACCCCCCAAAAAAGCAGAAACGGGCCTGAAAAACCCCCAAAACAATTTTGGGGCTTGGCTCCTTGATGGGGAAAGGTCCTGGACCCTGTTTTTTTCTTTTTTTTTTTTCCTCGAATTTTGGCAGATCCGGACCTTCCCGACCGGACGTCTGGAGTCCGGACTGAATCCAGACCGTCTGGATGGCGGTCCGGACGTCCGGATAGTAGCCATGGAAAAATGCTTATCTTTGTTTGAGGATTATTATTTTATTTTGTTTACCCTTCTGAAAACTTACCCCCCCCTACATTTCGCTTTTTTTTTTTTTGTTAGTTGTTTCGGGCGGGGGACGCCATGCGCAGGCGCGCCCGAAATCCCGCCTGTGCGGCCGCAGAAAAAGTCAGCCGGCCTAGGCCATGGGGCCACGGGATCCGAGGCCGAGGTTGCCACATAGCACCTGTTTCCACGAGCACTTTCCTGATGTATCTGACTGCAGTTACGGCTCTACCTGGATACACCTGACTGCAATAACGTCTAAAGCTGAGTAAAAATGGTCCTTACGTGAGTATGCCCCAGACAGTCCTCTCTGCATGTCATCCGACAAAGTACTGTTTTCGTTTTTTGTATGTCATCCAGCAACATGCTTTATCAGTCTGCATGTCTTCCTTCACTGTAATTAGTGAAGGAAGAGGCTCAGTACAACTGCCCTGTCTGCGAATGTGATCCTTATTCTAGTCGGATGCATCCTCGGAGAGTCCTGGGTACTAATGTTTAGTTAGTAAGATAAAATGCATGCAAATGCTCTGTATATTTTGTGGTCTCTACCTAGCTAACTTACGGTGTATATTTCCATGTTCTAGCGGTAGATTCATCCGATTTTGGGTGTCGTTGGGTGTCGTTGATGGTAATGCTGATCGCAGGTACAGGAAGCACTCTCTCCCAGTTCCCGGCAGCAACCAGAAGCTACAGTACCTGCATCTCACAGGGGGGCCCTAACGCAGGAGAAACAACCACGCGCGGCTCATCTCCACCAGCTGATGGTTCGCATCCGGCATAGTTTTAACGGACCAGCATCTGCCATCACGAAAACAGCTTGTTTTACGTTAAGCAGCATTTATTCCATGGCGTACCCACATGCCCTTCGCCGGGAGACTGCTCTAGTCCTCATTGCGGGCATGATCCTATTCCTTGTTGCTGCCTCGCAGGTCACTGCTCGCCTAATCAACGAAGAGCAGCCTGATAAGAGATATAATGGCCACGCGGTAATCACCCATCGCAGAGTTTTGCAGAGAGGGTGCTCGCATCTTACAGGATGGAATTGCCCTTATCCATGCAGGTGTATGCATGGTTTATGCTGGGCCATTCCTGATATGTGCGATCCGGAATTTTGCGACATGCGTCCTAGGCCTTGCTGGTAATCCCTGTGTCAGAGTCTACCTTGGGAGAGGTTGCCCTTCACTGCCCTCAGCTATTCACATTCCTTTCTCAAGCTGACGATACATGACCATACCCCTACCCTTGGGAACATTGGTGCAAAAGTTTGGGCGTGTAGTACCGAATGCCAAGACTTTGGGTGCCCAAAACCGAAAAGACCTTGGCGTGGGCGCTTTCCACCAATTATTCTCCCCTTACCGTTGCATCAAGGAGAAGACTGGATGCATAACCATAACCTTACCCTTGCCTCAAGGGGCAGACTGGGCGAGATCAAAGAGGAGGAGAGGAATAGACTGCACAAATTTATAGCTTATAGCAATGGAATGCATGCAACCAGTAGATGGATCTGTCCCCAGACTGTCAGACCTGCTGACCGGAATACTCTTGAGTTTCGAAGGTGAGATGGGTGGCCAGATAATCACCCAGTAAATGGATCTGTTCCTACGCTGGGGGGTAAATTGGGTAATGCATAGAATCCTCAAATGGACTATCTCGTTGTAGTCTCATGCTAAGCAGAGCATAACAATGACAAGTGCAGCGGATTATCTTGCCAAAAGGCAGCAGCGTTGCAGAAGTGTCTATTAGGGAACTGCGCCAGACTTGCGCTCTGCACCATAGCGAATACTGCAGGTCATCTTTCATTTCAGATCCCTACAACGATGCTCGCTTGATGTTTTCGACAATCCTTGCTTAATGTTTTGAGCTTGCTTCGCATGCCTTCCGTGTCTGCTCTCGCCATTCAACATGTGCAAACTCTTTCTTCTTTTTTTTCTCTTAAAGAGTATTGAGTCTCATCTTTTGTGTGTTCATTTTTGAAATCGGCATGATGTCCATCGGTTGAAAACGTGAAATTTAATCGTCGTCAATCTCTACTCACAAGAAAGACTGTGCTCTTGCTTCCTTGGAAGAGGTGGTCCAATTTTATCACAAACTTGAAACTACCTCCTTCACCCGTACGGTCATTCTACCTGTATCTAGACTCAAAGATACCCCAAATACGGGTAAAATGACCGTACGTTTTTCGGGGGAAGAAGGTAGGAACAAAAGTTGGTTGGTTTGGGTGAGGGAAAGTGGGGGAGGCAGGTGAATGGAGTTGTAGAGAAGGGGCCCTGCCGAAGAGGTAATGGCCCTAGGGCTAGGGGGTCAGGTGGGCAGGGTGCTGACTTAATATGTGTCTTGCAATGTTCTCTATACACAACTCCACAAAGAAAAGCATGAGAGTGGCAGTGTGTGTCCTTTTGTTTGTGGGCGGTGTGAATATGGCAACACGAACTCTGCAGCCGAACTACAAGGTGCGCAAGCAAAGGAAACAGAAGGCACGGCCAGCGGAAGGGTGGCAAGGCAGCAGAGCAGCGAAGTGCAAGGCAACACCGCAACACTGTCACACCACACAGTGAAGACAGCAGCTTGCCAAGTACGAACAGCGAAGCAAGCGGAATGGGCAGCAAAGCAGCAGCGGAGCGCAGACGAGGCAGTTAACACATCCAACACGGAGCAAAGCGGCACATCACCTAGTCACATCACTAGTGAACCCGGCAGACTGCTGGTTCCCACCACCCACTGAGCCAGGGAGTCACGGGCGAGCATCCGCTATCACAAGCCTCCCTAAGACTTTAAGAGTGCTGTAGGCACCCCAGACAAGGAATGAACTACTGTTGGGCACACAAAAAATACTTACAAAAAAAGTCAGAGGAAAGACAAACGACGGGAGGAAGACAGACATACCTAAAAGGCTAAAACTGATTTTTTTTTATTTTTATTTTTTTTGTGTGTGTGTGTGCAATCAGACTCGCTTTCTTTTCCACTTTACATACATGTGAACAGATGGCGATGCACACTGGCGCACAGCACCCACTCAAAGCTCAGAGATATGGAAATCGAAAACACAGTTCGGATGCAAACTCGCTTCAACAGGCTATGGCGCCACAGCGCCTGAACATCCTAACTCTCTTTACTGCGTTCAACACCACTGTCCACACTTACACAACTCTGGATCACCCTGAATATCTCACACACGTTCTTCTCTGGCACCCACACACACACTATTGCCTAACGACCTCCTACAGCGGCTATGGCTGCCCTACTAACACGAACCATGGCTACGTAGTCTCACTTCAGCCCACTTCGACTTCGGGCAGCATGCAGACCACCTCGCACAAGACGCTGTAGGAGCGCTTCCGCATGGCTTACACAACGAATGAATGAATAGCTGGGCGCTGCCTCTTGATTTATACTTCTGTGACTCGTTGGTCTGACCCTTTCCCATGACCTTGGTGCACAAAGTCCCACACGGTACTTGCTTGACTGGACTATGACTGACCCGGACCGGTACCGCTGACTGCGTGGGTTTGCACTGCCAACTCGATGCAGTCGCACTGCCGAAGTAATGCAGTTGGGCCCACCACTTGCCCACTTGCCTCTGTCTAAACGTGGGCCAACTTCGAAAGTCCACTTCCGGACCTTCCGGAGTCTGTGGTCTTGGCCTTTCGAACACTGTAGCAGCTACGACCTTGACCTTTCAGGACTGTAGCAGCTACCACCTTGACCTCTCAGAATACCTACAGCTGCGACCTCTACAAGGCTGTGACCCCTACTCATCAGATCTACAGATAGAACCCTACACCTACACAGACTTACGACAGACATCAAACGACTATCACAATACAGGTCACAGGTTCAAACACTCGGGGGTCAACTCGATACTGTACATGGGCTAGGTAAGGTTTGGGGATCGAACTCTAGTGCCCGCATATGTGATTGCAGAAAGGTGAAAACCGTTTCAGTGTGTGTGTGTATTGGGGGGGAATAAAGAGTACCGATGACTCACGATGAGGAAAACAACGGGCTGTTTGGGGGGGG